GTTTGGGAACCAGTTTAATAAGGCAAGAGCTAATTGGTAGCCTTGAAAGGATGGGGGCAGCCTGGGATAGCTGAGCATGGAGTTTTTAAAAATAAGGACAGGTGCGGAAATAAGGGTTTCCAACTGAAGTGTAGAATCAGGAAATAATGGGAACCAAAGTGAAATGAGGAAAGGTGGGAGGGAGGGGCCGATTACTTCATCGCCCCCAAACAGGGTATAAAAATGATGTTTCTGTATTGTACTTTGCATTTGGTTGTCCGGGAGCCATCTTGCCACCTGAAGCTCAATAAGAAGGGCCTTTTCCTTCCTTCACAAAGAATTCAACGGCTGAAGTCTTTTATTCAACTTTCCTTTATTTTTGACTGAATTTTATTTTTTATTTTGCATTTAATTAAAGAACTGAAACAGAGTTATAGAACAGATTAGTGTTTAATTATCCATATGTTGGGGCTCTGAGTGAGCGGGAATCGCACTTAGTCCCGACACTACCATAAGCTACTACAGTTTAAACGAGGTCTGTAAAATAGACTTTACATATGAAAGTGTTTGTTTGTGTTGATGTCAGAAGTCTCTGCATCCTGTAGCTAAATGTGTCACTGAACCTGCTCCACGTTAGCCGGCTGGTGGCAGCAGCTGATGAAAGCTAACTAGCTTCCTTATTTTGGGAACACAGCTACAGTTAGAAATGGCTTCTAGCATTGCTAGCTAACTACAGCTAAACAATGTCTACCAAATTCATACGACACAGAAGAACTGTAATTTCTTTAAAAACTGAAATATTACAGAAATCGCTGGCATGTTGTACAACTACAGAGACACTGCTTGATGTGAGCAGCTGCAGCAGCAGTAAGCAGGGCTACACCACATACAGCATTTCAGCTGAGTTTACAGTTAAATCAGTGCTTCCATTCACTTCCTTTTGTCATGATAGTGCACAGAAACTAACATATGTCTGTTATAGCTCAGTATTTGAGCATTATAGTTCACTGCTAATGCTTAATCCAGACGTAATCGCGACCCTTTGTGAAAAGGGCCCATTGGGACAGCCTTCTTGTCGGGAGCGCACACTGTGCTGTCTATGTAGAGCTCGCTAGGTTTGGAGACACCCAACGTCTCTCTAAAGTGTGTTATTTAGACGGTTAACTTCATCTGGATCTGTTGTTATGACCATACAGGCTGGTATTCATGCTAAATGTGTTAGCGTAGCACAGAGCTCACATTTTCCCTGTTGAAAAAAAACAGCAGACCAGTATGAATTCCATGCTAGTCTTATCTGGTTTAGCTGGTCACTCAGTATGGTAACGCTAATTGACCAGTATACCAGCATCCAAACACAACATGTGCTAATGTTGCTGGTGACCACATATGCTGGTCTACACTGGTTTTCCAGCAGTTTCCCTGAAAACACAGACTTTGATGTATTGGGGTGCTGCTTATCACCTTAATTCTGCATGTCAGAAAGGAGCTTGAGCCAATCACGATCCGGTATGCTAAAATATGCTAATGACAATAAAAGGAAGCAGCTACAGAACATGCTGAGCTAACGTAGCTAACAATGTTTGAGGTGTTTGGGCTGAGCTGTAAGTTGTGAGCTGGAATAAATAATGATGTTGGTGTTTAAAATCAGGACGGTGCCAGATTTACAGTCCATATCTGTATCTGAATAAACTGTCCAACATGCAGAGCTGTTCTAGTAGCAGGCAGCAGTAGCTTAGCATGCTAACAGCTTCACACAGCACAGCACAGGTTAATCTCACTGAAGCTTCACTGACGCAGATTATAAAGACTCAACTCTGAGCAAGTCAATCTGCTTTTGTGTGTGGAGCTACTGTAAATATCCTCATTAGCACCAGAGGCTAACATTAGCTTAGCGAGAATATGGGTTCTATAAACACAGAAAGTAGTAAGAGTATCAGTAAGTGTGTAACACTTTGAAGGGACTCTATTAAATATTTAGTATAAACAAAGCAAAATACTTAATTTATTACTAAAACAGACAAAACTCCTCTAAACGAAGGATGCCATCAAATGACTGCTCTCTCTCTTCTCCACTGAGTGAGAATCAGCTAAAGATTTAATTTAGCTCAGCTGTTCCAGCTTTATCTAGAGCCTGCATTACCCAGAGGAGAGACTACTGGGCATTATTACTCTGTTATAAAGTATGTAATTCTTAACAGTCAGAATGCCTTTTAAAACAATAACAGTTCATTCGCTGATCAGATGATCAATAACTAAACCTGAACACGTGTATAACTGATCACTTTGAATGGGATTTATTCTGATGATTAATCAATCTGATTAATAACTGATTTAGTCTGACTACCTCAAGACTACAATTCCCAGAACTCCTTGCTGCATCACATTACTCAGGACTCTCAGCGATCCATCTATCACTGCTCCTCATCTCTGGACCTCTAATCACACGCCTGTCACTCTCTGTCTGTAACCAGTCTGTCTGTGAGCTCTCATTGTGAAGCATCGTCACATCCATGTACCGAGCGTCTCTCCTGTGTTCCTGACTGTTTGACCCGGTTTCTGTTTATGATGATTGTAGCCTCATCCTTTTGTTCTGTGTTGGTTTTCTGGTTTTCGACTTTCTGCTTCTGTTTACCGACTGTGATTTTGGATCAACCCCTATGGCGTAAAAGTTCTTCACTCAAGCCTCTGTTGTGAGCGCCTGGCTCCATCTGCCACCGTTACACTGATATAACTGATCAGAAATAAAACAACCTATTTGATACAGTGTTTTCCTGCAGGGCATCACTGTCAGCCCTTTATATGGCAAAAGACAGGCGAGTAACAGAATAAGAGAGATGATGAAAATGACAGAGATGATCTCTGCAAGCTCTGCAGACTCAGAGTCCTGTGAAGAAGATGAAAATGATGCGAATGACCTGGGAAAACAAGAATGTTTTGATTCTCATCAAGTAAATGTTTAACATTTCACAGACGACAGTGCAGCCACTGTTTTCTTCGACTCAACAGTCTTATTTGTGTTTGAAAATGGACGTCCTCTGCTCTGTGGAAGTTTCAGGTCTCGCTTTTGCAGATCCCCCAGCCACAAAGGCTACATTCTCAGGAGCGCCAGCTAGCTCAAAGTAAATTAACCTTGCCTGACCGAGTTAATGAAGGATAGCTGGATGGCTGCTAAGCAGTGATTGGAGGAGAAAATGAAGCAAACTTTTAGGAATGATAGGTATGATCAACTTTAAGCTTTGAAATTAGTCCATTGTTTCCAGCTGATCTGCTAGTAAAGTCAAAACAGCTGTTTAAATTTTGTCGTAACTGGCTGTAGGGGCCCCTAATGGGCCCCTTAAACCCATTGGATGATGTGGATTTGGCAGCCCATCTTAAAGTACTGTTCTCTTTTGTCTGTGGGACCTTTTCTTTTACTTTTTGTAACGTGTTTCATCCATAATTTTCAATACGTCGTAGTGCACAAATTACATACATTTTAAAATGTTCATATATTAAGAGTCAAATGAAAGCAGAACACATTGAGTTTCACTCCTGGACGTTACAGACGAATGTCTGTGCATAAATTAGTTTATTTGGATTTTTAAAGGAATAAAAATAATCTGTTCTAGTAAGATGAGCCTGTTTATTTATGTGAAAAAACTTGGTGGTCTGAGTCCAAAAAAAAGTTTTTTTCATCTAAACGGTTTAATCTGAGTGCTTCATCAATCTAAACTCAAGAATAAGACACATAATTATTGTAAGCATTGCTGTAAGCAAAAATAATGTCTGTATTTTTGTGTGGAATATGTAATCAGATTTATTGTACGCAGAAGCACACAGCTGCTTCAAACACGAAGCAAGAATTGAGACAGTCTAGCTCATTTCTAGCATCACTGCACAGAATAATGGCACCTTTTAAAGAGGAATTCAGTTCAATACTTTTGGAGTTTCCTGCAAAACTGAGAGTTCAAGGTGTAAACAGTGATTCAGAGTGGTTTGGTGTGAAATGGCACCAAAATGGCATTTTAAAGAGCCCATATTCTACATTTACTAGTGTTTCTCCCTCTGAGGTCGACGTATCATATTTGAACATTTGTGTGGTTTTATGTACCAAAAACGGTAATTTTGCCAACCTCTGTATACCTTAGAACTGTTTTTGTTACTGTGCCTTGAGAACTGATGTATGTAAATGAGCTCTGTTCTGACTGGCTATGCTATAGTATTACACCTCCTTCAAAAAGCACTAAAAACACTCCTTATACTTAACTGTGAGTGCGGTGTGAATTGTTCTTGTCCCTTTGGAATACATCATTCAAACATTCACAGTGTAGGTTGGGAAAAGCATGTGAACCCCTAAGCTAATGACTTCAGCAAAAGCTAACTGGAGTCAGTCAGTGAGTCTATCATATGAAAAACCCTGAACAAGTATGGTGTCCACGGCAGGACACCACCAATGTAGCCGCTGCCACTCTACAAAAACATCAATGCACACTGACATTTGCCCAAAGAGCACCTTTTAGTGGACGGATGAAAAAGGTGTAAACAAGAGAACTGCACTACAGCAGTGAAGTATGGTGGTGGGAGCATCATGATTATGATGGGCCTTGATCGATCATCATGTAGAGTAAGACGACTGTGTTTATCAAGGCATCCTACAGGACCAGGTCAGGGTGGCTGTCTAGGTAATGCAGCAGGACAACGTCCCCAAAAATAAAGCAAGTAAATCTACTACAGAATGACTTCAAAACAAAATCTACCTTCTGGAGCTGCCCAGTCAGTGGGCAGACCTTACCTCATTAGAGATGCTGTAGAATGACCTCAAGATGAGTCAAGTAAATTCAGAGCAGGACGTTCAGTCTGTATATATAGACTGTATGAACTGGAGAGTGAATGGAGCATTTAAAACTAACATTTTTACATCTTCACATACTCAGTGGTGTGAATTCAGTGATGTGGGCTTTTGAAGTGTTTCACTTTGACACAGATTTATACCTGTGAAGATCTGAATGTAAAGAAAATGTAATGAAGATCATAAACAACAGTTTAAGCTTTCAAAAAGCCTTTATTTACCCAGGAGACTTGCATTGTTATAATTTCAGGCACTTGCAGCAAATTATAAATGCAATTAACTATACAAAAAAAGAGACAATGAAGCTGCTCTTCTGTTTCCTAACTGGGTTCCTGAAGAGAAGAACATCAGCCAGACTGAACTAAAACTGCTACTTCTCAAACATATTTCACACACCATTAATATCTGTACTGCCCACTGTCTCATTGGCCAGTTCACGTATTCTGAGTGATGTTTGTGATAGCACATTCAAAATAAGACCGGAAATATTTTACATCTGTTGATTTAACTCTTATTTGCAGACAATATAGAAGATGAGCAGACAATAGAAGACACAATACTACTGGCAAAACCTTTACTTCTCCTACTATTACTAATGTTAACAATCACACATGCAGTAAAAAGCTGTAATCTGGATGAGCTTTGTGTTAGTTTGCAGCTCTATTATCAATAAAGAAAGTAATATAGTAATAAAAGTAATACAGGTAAATAAGTAATAATAGTAATAATAGTAAATAAGTAATATAAGTACAGAAAGTAGTAACTAATAAAAGTAATAACAATAAAGGTGATGTAAAAATTTAAATCAAACCCTGACTGATATTCAGGCCTCAGTGTGGGGTATAGATGTCCAGTACTTAACGAAACATTATTTACTGTTAAAATAGAGAAAATCCCTCTAATAGGAATCAGCTAAAGATCTAACTGAACCTTTCCAGCTTTATCTAGAACCTTAATTACCCAGAAGAGTAACTTTTAATTATCTTATTTTCCAGATGACCAGTGCGACTTCATCACAGGGCCTCAATGGTGAACTAGTACTAGAGAGATTTTCTCTCTTTATGTTATTATAAATAAAACATTTTCTTTGGTTTGTACATCATAACAGTGTTGGACGTTATTACACTGTTATAAGGCATATAAGTCTTATCAGTCAGAGTTTCCTTTAAAACAGTAACAGTCAATACACTTTAAAATCCATGTCTGTATGAAAGCTCTTATTCCACTGAAAGAACTGAGCACTGTGTGTGTGTTAGTGAGCTGTGAGCTCTGTGAGAAACTCATCCACACTTCTATCAGGAGCTGAATGGTGAACATGCTGCCTTATAGCTGCTACAGACACTCTGAAATCAGATGAAGATGAAATCAGACACAGCTGAGCTGCTGCTAGTCGGGGTGTCAGTGTGTCGGGGTCTTTACGGTGTTTCTACACTGACTGTGTGTGTGTTGTGTGTGAGAGACTGAGATCTACCAGACAGTCTCTGTTCTTTACAGTGGAACAAACTAATCATTTACAGAAACAATCAATATCATCAATATCATCAATATCACACAGTCAGAAACCTGTTAGCTGATGCTGAGCACACACTGCAGAACATTACTCCTGGTTTTACTCCTGATTGGAATCGAAAAGGATGCAGCCTTAAACCTAAGAACTGTGTTTACAGAAACGAGAGAAAAAGGAAACTTGTTACACAGACAGTTAAAGAAACATAATGTTAATAAAGACTAATACTGTAATAAATATCTGCAAAAATGTAGAGCATTTCATGTGTCGACTGCATGTAATTCATCCATAAAGAATAAATGATTACAATCATCTTTCAAAAGGGAAAAATCCAAAGCTTGACCATCTACGAGTGAAGTGGACACTCAGTGTATCTCAGACTGAGTAAATCCAGCATAAACCCAAATATGGAACTTGCTGCAGTATCTAGCACTGAGCTTCAGCTTCAGATGTGTGTGAACTGGAACTGAACAGCTCTGTGCAGCACACTCAGAGATCTGGTTAAATGAAGCTGAATTTACACCATTAAATTCAATATTTACAGTAAATTTACAGTAAATTTACACTAAATTTACACCGTTGCTTAACAAACTGATCCAGAACCCTGTATGAAAGTTTCCTCTCCTCAGACTGAGATCTCATCATCTCTCAGGACTGAGTTACCACAATTCATCTCAGCGCAAAGTGATTTATTAAATGGTAACGCAGCATCACTCTGAACACTCCGTCTACCAGGAAAGATGATCCAAGAAGTCTGGGCTCAGATCAGTTACATCTTGTGGGCTGCAGAAGCTGGAAAAATTAATCTGAGCTGGAGATCATTCATCCAGAATTCAGTCCTGATTTTAAACCTGATTTCAGTCCTGATTTTAGTCCTGTGCTGATGTTTAACTCATGTTGAGCTCTGTCTTTATCTGTATTACAGAATTTGGAGTGTTGAGGATTTGATTGTAGTTGTGGTGATGAAGCTCCTTATAAGTGTTCTAGAGTGTTCTGTAGAGAAGACGTTCTATAAACTGGGTTCCTTCAGGCTCTCAGCTCTGCAGAGATCAGTGTTCTCCATCTTCTAGCTCTCTGAATTCAGCTGATGAAGAACTTGTTAATGAGCTGATCAGGTGAATCAGGTGTGTTTAATAAGGAGGAACACTAAACTCTGCAGAGCTGTGGTCTGGAAGGAACCCAGTTT